TCTCCGAGTGCCATACCACGGTCGACGCAGTAGGAGCAGCCCGCCTCTACTACCGGAATGTCTGGCGCCATCACGGGACTCCGGAGAAGTACGTCTCCGACCGTGGCTCACAGTTCATCGCGGACTTCACCCGAGAACTCTGGCGTCTAATCGGCATCAAGCCAGCCATGTCCACCGCGTATCATCCGCAGACGGACGGTCAGACAGAGCGTGTCAACCAGGAGTTGGAGCAATACCTGCGGATCTTCACCAACTATCAGCAGGACGACTGGGATGAGCTGATTCCGGCTGCGGAGTTCGCTTACAACAACCACGTCCACTCCTCCACGCAGCAAGTCCCCTTCATGACGGACACGGGACGGCTTCCACACATGGGCTTTGAACCCGGAGTCCGTTCCGCTATGGAGTCTGTGAACGAGTTCCGCGACCGAATTGCCACTGGGGTTGCCGAAGCCAAGGCCGCGGCTCACTAAGGCCAAGGAAGAGTATAAGCGCTACTACGACCGGAGACGCACTCCGTCTCCGGAGTTCAAGGTTGGCGACCGTGTTTGGCTGGATGCCTCTGACATCAGGACGACTCGCCCCTCGGAGAAGTTCTCCCACCGCCGCCTCGGTCCGTTCAAGAAAATCGCGGAGTTCTACCGTAAGTACCCTGGCAAACCACGGCACATCGCCTCCGCGACCTTCGACTCGATTCCGTTCCGGTCTATGCGTCGGGACGCCGCATTCAAAGGGGGGGGTGATGTCAGGGGAACCCCCCTTTCGGCCCCTCGGAGACGCCTCCGTCTCCGGTCCGATTCCGGTTCCGTCTCCGGTCCGGCCCCCCATCTCGCCCGTACAATCACCGATCTGTCAACGCCCTCCCAACGGTCGCCCTGGGACCTTGCCTGCGACGCCGCCCAAGCCTTCTGTGCCCGACAGCGGCAGCTACGGACAAGCAGTATATAGTCAGCTCCCTAGCAGGCGGACCCTTAGAGTTTCTTCTCTTTGGATCCTCCCCTGCTAGGTCAGCTTCATTTGTAATTGCTTACCAATGTTCACGCTTTGGATCCTCCCCTGCTAGGACCTTGATCTCAGGCCTCCGGGGTTGCCCTTACAGGTCCGTAACTTTAGCACCTGCATATGATGTTTATGGGCCACTGTGTACCTGCCCTGCTTATAGTATGTAACAGCTAGACTATGCTGGGTGCACATGGTGTCTGGATGCTCTGGTCCCAGTACCTTGGTTTGCAACTGCAGCACCTGCATATAATGTTTCTGGGCTTCTGTGTACCTGTGCTGCTGATAGCATGTGACTGCCAGCTCATATTGGGTATGTATAGTGTCTGGATGCTCTGGTCCTAGCACCTTGGTTCGCAGCTGCAGTACCTGAGTATGATACTCCTGAGCCTCTATATAGCTTCCCTGCTTATAGCATGTGAGACCTAGACTGTGCTGTGTGCACATAGTATTTGGGTGCTCTGGTCCTAATACCTTAGTCTGCAGCTTCAGCACATACATTTGATGCTTCTTAGCATCTGTGTACCTGCCCTGCTGGTAATATGTGACAGCCAGACTATGCTGGGTGTCTAGAGTGTCTAGATGCTCTGGTCCCAGCATCTTGGTACGCAGTTCCAACACATATATGAACTGCTCCTGGGCTTCTGGATACCTGCCCTGCTGATAATATGTGATAGCTAGACCATGCCAGGTACAGATAGTGTCTGGATGCTCTGGCCCCAACACCTTAGTCCTTAACTCTAGCACATGCATATATAGCTTCTTGGCTTCCTCATATCTTTTTTGTTTATAATATACAGTGGCTAAGTTCAGCATTTGCACCCATAGTAACTGGATGTTTTTCTCCCAGGATCTGAGCACAATCCTTTGCCACCTGCTCTCTCATTTCCTGGGCTTTCCCATACTTTCCTATCCTAAGATATGAATCTGCAACCTCACCTTGAGCCCAAAGGGAGTCTGGATGAAGTGGTCCTAGAATCCTTTTGCGGTTAGACCAGACCTGTAGCTCAAGTTTCTGTGCTTCTTCCCATCTGTTCAGCCCACAGTATGTCCAAGCTAGTGATGACTGGGCATTGATAGTTTTCACATGTTCATTTCCAAAAACCTTCACATGCCATTCCAATACCTGCTCTTTTAGCTCCCTAGCATTATGTATCTTGCCTAGATTTTCATAGGTTACTGCTAGTTGTGCCTGGGCTGCAATAGTCTCTGAATGCTCTGGTCCTAGGATGTTACTACTCTCTAGCACCACATGCCTGCCCAGTTCGAATGCATCTGTATATTTTCCCAGTTCATTATATATTTTGGCTAGATATATCTGAGCACAAAGAACTTCTATATTCTCTGGTTGAAGAATCTTTTTGAGCTTTGAAATCACCTCTTCTTGGAATTTTTGTGCATCTCTGTATCTACCTTGCTTATGATAGACTCCAGCTAGCGCTTCTTGTGCATGAATTGCCTCTAGAGTGTTCTCTCCTGCCTTACTGTACTCCTGCCAGATATTATTTGCTATTGTTTCTGCCTCTTGGAAAATTCCTGCCTCTATGTATATATCACGAAATGATATCATAAACTCTAAAGGTATGTGCTTGCTGGTGGGTAATACCATTACTTTTTGTATGTGAAGCACAAGAGCTAGTCTTTCTTCAATGCATGGGGTATAGGCAGCTGACATTCCAAGTAGTATGGTTGCTTGTGCCTGTTTAATATCTGGCTCAGCTAGGGTTAATCTTGTCCACTCCTGGACCAGAGGATGAACATAATAAAGAGAGTCCTTGAAATTTATCAAAGAGTAACTTTCAATTTCATTCATTATCTTCTCAAAAATTAATAGATCCCATTGTCCAGCATCATCCTTGAAATTGGATAGAAATAGCAGTACTTGCTTCTTATAAACCTCAAGGGATTCCTCAGATAATGCTAATTTATTTTGCAGCTTGGGATATTTATAAAGTGCTGCATATTGGAATATTCCCTCTGTAATAGAGTTGTGATCTATCATGGACACTAGTTGGAGGAGTTCTTGTGCTACTGGCTGAAGCTGGTTAAAACTGATCTTCCAGGTAGTATAAACAGTGGCATCATATTTTGAAATTCTCTGTACTGGTTTCTGCTGCCAATATTTCTTCTTATTCTGCCGATATATATGAAGATATTTCTGGGAGTTTTGCTGCAGCTTTCGAGACTGTGAAATGAATGCAGCTGCTTGGATAATTGCTAAAGGAAAGCAGTGTAGCTCCTGAGTTTCAGTAAATATAGTAGTTATACACACACACATGCAGTGCCTAGTTGAATCAGGAGCATACCTTTGCAATGTTCTCTGCACCTTGTCTATCTGTAGTCTTTGAGATATCCAGAATTACTTGAGTTGCTTCATTGAGAGATAGATCAGAGACTTCAATAGAATTCCTGGCAGAACCATGCCCAGTGATGATATCTAGTTGTTTGTTCCGAGATGTGATTAAAATGTTGCCATGATTGCACTGTGGAAAATATTTTTTCAAATTCAGTTCCACATTATCTGCATTATCAAAGAGAAGGAGCCATTCAGAAACATTCCCTATCAGCCATTGTTATGCAGCAGCAACAGAAGCCTCTAGATTCTTGATGTGTGCAATCTCCATATATCCTGCTGCAATGCTATTCTCACTGCTAGCATCAATTTTGAACTGATCTGTGAACCTTTTTGTCAAAGGTCAGCATATATATAAACAAGAAAGATTTATGAGGTATTATACCTATTTTTAGATTCTACTGCAAATTTTAATGCCGTTTCTGTTTTCCCAGACCCCCCAAGTCCATGCAAGAGCACCACCTTCTGGTGTTGTTGGCTATTGGGTTCAAAGAAATTGGCTAATTGAGCTAACATTTCTGTGCGACCCACAAAATAGTGGGTTGGGGATGAGCATCCCCTATAGATGGCTGGCTTGGCTATCAACAGCATTGGTGCATGAATAATAGGTATGAGAAGTATATTCACTTTCTATATGGTGGCACCTAAATATTGTTAGTACAGGGCAGAGTTCTGTGTAACTCACGCACCCTTGAATAATTGTGGAGCATGTATGGTGCCGACGGCCTAGTCACAACCAATTTGTGACAGCTGACTAAGCCTGCTCAAAGCAAAATCCTCCACTTTTTAGCAGAGCTTATGTCATCTATTGTATGGGGATTATATAAGCATGCTCATTCTAAAAGTCACAACTTTTTATCCTTTGAGTATTTTTACAAAGTGTCTAACAGGATTCTTCCTATGACCAAACTAAGTGTTTCTGTTAGAGGGTTTGACTCCCCACTCATTCCTTCCCACACAGTATGCCCATCAAAGTGATGTCCCAAATTGGTGGTGACTAGGCCAGCTGCACCATAGTGATTGTGGCTGTAGGTCCTTGTCCCAGACCACCATTTCCACCAGTCCCCATTGCATTTCCACCATTCCCTCCTGTCCCTCCTATGCATGAGAGGCGAGTGGATAGGAGAATAGCAGTGGTGCTCGGGCATACCATGAAGATGCATATTTGTTATAGCGGCGTGTGTTGAAGTGCTTGTGGGTGCATAATCAACACTCATTGTGAGGACCTGTATGACTGTGTTGGTGTAGAGTGGGTTTGGTAGGAAGAGAAGGACAAAAGCTGGCCCACCGCAGTCAAAGTGTTAGCATGACAACACTGACAGATGATATAGGCATCTTTGTTGGTCCTTCAGTTCAGTTATACATAGATCAGTTGTCAGACCGAGATCGTGAAATGATGAAGATTCACTAGGGAGTCCATGCTCCTGGCGGGCCGTGTCAGCTGCGCATGGTGCTTCGCCGGTGAAGGTCACCAGGATCCATATTTTAGTTGAATATTTAACTATTATATTATCACTGGCGTGCATATATTCACACTGCGGCTTTTTCGTGGCCCGTTGTATCGATCGGCAACCGCATTCCCGCCAACGTGGCTCGCCCGGCCATTTTTCCAACCATTTGTCTACGGCCGGGTCTGCCTGCTTACCGATTAATCATAGCCGCAAGCATTCACCGCAGGATGCCGCCTTGCGAGCCTCCCGCTGACCCTCCGAATCTTATCGGAGTCGAAGGAAGGAAACGTTGCTGGTAATCCTAAAGACCGCCTTTTACGCCTCTCTTCCTCTTTCGTCTCGGTCTCTGGGACCTCCTTCTCACACGCATCCACCTCCACCTGGCCCTCCGCATTATCCTCGTTGATATCCGCCCCAACCTCACTCGCCTTAACGCTCCGCGGCGGGTCAGTCTGTGATTGCATCTAAGGATACGAAGTTGAGTGGACGGGCAACGCCACATACCACATTCAACCTGTGCCCAGGCCCCAGAGTCCCTTCTTTGCGGAAGACATTGTGCCATGCTGCGCCGCTCACCTCCGCCTTGTCATGCGCCGTTTTCTGCCAGAGCTGCCCGTTTTTGGCGCCGTCTGGCGTGTCGAAGGCCGCGACCATCCGCGAATTCAAAGTGATGGGCTGGCGATCGCCTCGACACCGTAAGCCCCGCGCCGACAATCTTCTCCCGGTCGGCCTTCGCTATGTCGAGTGTGACGCGTGGCAGGCCACAGCCTTGCCGTTGCCATGAGTGAGACGACTCTTCGAGTTGTCAATATCCACCGCGCCATCTCCCCAAAGTCCTGCTCCGTGTCGCGACTCGCTGGGGTGGTGCGCCACCAGCTCGGTCTTGTCCGCGCAGCTCGTCCGCGTTGCAGTAGTGTTGACGATTGAGCGGCCAGCCACACGTCGTTACGGTCGTTTATGGCTGGCTGGACCTGACCGTGTCCTCTGCGCGGGGTGCTTGGCGACGGTCAAGGAGTTCTCATCAAGAGTTGTGTCCAGCGCAACAAGGGAGAGGGATTCAAGCCTCTTTTATGCCGCCGGCAAAAGGGGGGTGGTTCACTGACAACGATGACTCGGACATCCGCCGCGGCCCGCCCGGAAGGATCGCCGATCGAGTTTGAGCCTGCGCCGGGATAAAAACAACTGAAGTCATTCAGGCTATGCAAGATGATCTGTCCAGCTAATTCCGACTTAGACTGGGACCCGCGCGCTTCCCGCTTCGAACGACGAACAGCGGCCCATCACCAACGCCGACCTGCGGGTTCTTGCGCATGTGGCTCATGCGTCCCGGCCGCGGCGGTACTACGGGCGGGCGAATATCCTGCGCCTCAGGCTCCATCCCTGCCAGTACTTCCCCTCGGGCTCAGTCCTCATAGTATCCGCCCATCAACCCCAAACGCTTTTTAAAAAAAAAACCAATACCTGACCGGTAGCAACCACAAAAAGAGAGAACCCATGCCATTACCATATGAGGCTGCGTCGATCGCACGGTGCTAGCCCGAAAGTTCCGACTCCGGAGGTAAGTTGTATCACTACTAGTGGTACTTGCGCCGTGTCGTATCCCTCCGAGTCGGCCCTGCGGCTGGTTTCAGATGTCTTACTCGGCGACCATGATGCACGGCACGGCACGGCGCACGCGCGGGGGCAGTCCCACAAGATGAGTCGATGATCCGCCCGGCCCGCCGACAACCCGCCGGTGGGGCTTACACGGGACACACCAGATGCGACTACAGGCAGTTAAACAGATGTGACACTTCCTTTGGACATCCATTCAGATGCAACATTTATACCTTCAGATGCAACACACGGGCACAGATGCAACAGTCTGGTCCAAAAACAGATGCAATAGTAGAAACATGAATATTTTGTTTTAGGTAATATTGGTTAGTATTGGTTAGTGTTGGTTAGGGTTGGTTAGGGTTCGGTTAGGGTTCAGTTAGGGTTCGGTTAGGGTTCGGTTAGTTAGGGTTAGGATAAGGGAAAGGTACGTCTATATATACTGTTGGGGGAAATGCTGAGTTAATGTGGTAACTATTTGTTAGGGTTTGGTTCGGGGTTTGGTTAGTTAGGGTTAGGATAAGGGAAAGGTACATCTATATATGCTGTTGGGGGAAATGCTGAGTTAATGTTGTAACTATTTGTTAGGGTTTAGTAAGGGTTGGTTAGGGTAATTTTTTGTTCAGAGGAATATTAACTACCAGTGTGATACAATCAATTGATTGCTGTTGTGGTGTCGCATCTGGGCCATCGAAAACAGACGCACCAGCAGGCATGGAACAGATGCAACACCTGTCGCGTCTGTTTTCCTGCCTGTTGTCGCATCTGTATAATCCTCGGGCTTACATGGCAGAATGAAAGCTTGAGCACCATGACACCATGCGCACGGTCCGACTGATCTCGACGGGGACCTATGGCCATGGATGCGCGATGTTTGCGTTGGACCGTGACGGCAGCCCATTGCCATCGTCGGCACATGTTAAGGCCTCGGGCTCACTGCCACCGGCCCGGTCGCCGTTCCCGGCGCTGGCATCGCACTACATTCTACTTGGTGAAACTGAGGTCAAAACTACTCTCCTCAAACTATAGCCAGCTCGCGCCGAGTCCCAACGCGCGATCGAACTGGCGCCGGGCGGCGCATCTGCTGCAACCAGCAGTGGCACCAGGTGATGTCCTCTATCCCTCCGTGACGCCGTCCGCTGGGTCTCTACCTGCTTCAACGCAATCGGCAACCCCCACCCCAGATGCGTATGAAGACACCCCGCCGGACGCCGGACGCCGGCTCGGAGTCAACCAAGTTTCCGATCCAATCACGATAATTGGCCCCTCCGCCGCCACATGAGGCCGCGTCGATCGAGCGGCGGCGGGCCATGGCTGGAACCGGCATGGTATAGTCTTTCTTAGGAGCTCCGAGGCAAGCTCCGAGCCCAGCTGCCCGCTACATCTAAAGGCCGGGAGCCAATATCTAATCGCCTGCAGCGCCGGCGCATCACTGGGGCCCGGGGATGGGCTTCAAGTGGTGATCCGGTGCAGGCGATCATCACGCGGCGCATGTGCTGGATGGCTGCATGCGGAAGACATGGGTCGTGGCGTACCAAGCCCTTTCCTTTTTTTTTTTTTTTTTTTTTCTTTTTGAGCGTTTAAAGTCACGGACTTCAGTCTGCAGAAGCATTCCAAAGAACATCCGCTGGGTGCACTGAAAAATGCCAGTAAAAATGCCGGGAAGTAAGCTCAGGGGGGAAATGCCTTTATACACGTTTTAAACCAGTGTGGGACTCCTACCAGGTGTGATTTATCCAACACCCTTTTTTAAGGGTAGAATACCCACTAAAACCCCCTTTTCATTTATCCAATTATCTGGCAAGAAGTCTTCATCCAGCAGAAGTCCACTCCAAGTATTTAGAACTACTTGGTAGTCAATAGCTAATTTATCGAATTTACTCTTATTAGTCAAAAGTCTATCCCGCTGAAAAATTGAATTTATCATTGTGAGCCAGCGATTATGTATTTCAGGAATTTGAAAAATTTTCCCAAAAGTTTTTAAGCGTCTTTCATTTTGCATATTCCAAATTATATACCATGCACATGAAACTAAAATGCTAAACAATCGATCTTTATGAGGTTGGGGAGTTCCTTTGCTATTTTTGAATTTGGTGAGATTACATCCCAATACTAGTCCCCACTCAATTTTTGGCCATTGACCAAATTTCATATTCCAGAGAACTTCAGTTATTTTCCAAATATATAATCTTTCCAATGTTATACAATCTAGCACAATATGTTCTAGAGTCTCTGGAACCTTACACAGAGGGCATTCACCAAATGTTTGTAGTTCAGGAATATTATTAGAGACGTTGCGCCACAGCCATTGAATGGCGTCAATGGCTGGATTTTTTGGGTCTTTTTGGGACCACATTTTGGGGAAGAATAGATGACTGTATTATATAGTCAATCTCAAATTTTTGTCAAGAAATAATGTCTATAGATGCTGTAAGTGGCAATTTAATGAGCCATTGGAGCCATTGAATGGCTCCAATGGCAGTGGCGCAACGTCTCTATTATCCTAAAACAGACCTACTTTAAATGTATTATGCATAGTTTTCCATAGAAATACCAAGCCCTTTCCTCTCAAAGTCACTCACTGGCATGCCAGTGTGCACGTGTTAATACAGCAGCAGACGACGACGGGCGGCGCGGCCGCACCCACACCAAGTGAGCATGTGTACAAGATAGCAGACCTCCTGTGGGCCACCGTTCGACGCGGTGCCGTAGTCGTTTGAACATGCTGAAGTTGTTTGCGGTCGTTTTATTTTTGCCGGCTGAACATTGAATGCCGGGCCGATCAATCAAGTGTTGCCTCACCCCCTTCCAACTCGATGCCCGTGACGCCCGCCGCGGCCGTCGCGGCGACCCCGTCTGCCTTACGTGCAAGATGGACCATCGGCGTGCAGTTCCAGATTGGGCAGTGTTGCGGCTGATGCTGGTATCCCACGCGTGTTGGCACCTCGTCGCCGCGCACCTCACCCAGAATGGCTTCATTCACACCGCCGTGAACCCGTACAACTACCACCAGACGCTCGTTCTCTGCGTCTGGCTCGCCGTCCTCCATCAACGCTAACAGTGTTCGAGCAGCTGCGAGCCGCGTTTGTTGCCCATCCGGCGGGGCAAGAAATCGAGCTCATCATCAGTACAACACCCATTTGAAGCGAGGAATCAGAAGATGGCGGGCTGCCGGGGGATGACAAGCAAGACTTGGCCTGTCGGAGTCACCGGCATGTTCGGCATGTGCAGCCGAAATGGACCCGCGCGTGTCGGAGGGCGTGGAGCAAGCCCAGTCGCAGGTGGGCTCTGTTCTCGAGCGACAATGGGACTCGGATGTGCATTTGAGGCGGTACCGCGGGTGCTGATGGAAGACGCCAGTGCAACGGCACAGTTTGAGCATCACTGCCAGAAGTGTCCCGCTCAGTTCACCGCGGGCTGGGCAGATACTTTCGGATAGCACCAGCAATTTTTGCTGGTTCTCAAAGCATTGACGTGCTGACGCCTCAGGAAGCTCTTGGCAGTGGGTTCTTGATCAGAAAGTCTCTACCCCAAGTCCCTGCCAGTGTCCGCAATTTTGAGCAGCGTCGTCTGTCAATAGCAGAGGTGACTCAACCATGGCCAGTGCAGTGTTGAGGGATACATGACAGACTCCCAGCGATAGCAGCGGCTGGACAGCCGTTCGATCGACGCAGCCTCGTATCATCGGAAAGAGTGGGTGACTTTTTCGTGGTGGTGGGCGGAGCGTTCGTTCCCCACCGGTGGTAATTATCAGTCGGACCGTGCGCTGTATGAACCAGTCCGCTCCCGGAGCCCTGCGTCCAGTTTTTATCCCGTGGAACCTCAGACTGGATCCGCCGGCGGGCCGCGGCGGATGATTCAGATCATGATTCATGCGCACCCCTTTTGCCAGACGTATAAAGAGGGCCGCGTCCTTGACTCTGGAAACACTAGTACTGCGCCGCCCGTTGCCTTCACCAACCACCCTGCGCAGCCGCCACCCGGTCAGCACGGCTTGGGGCCGACATTCGCCCAATGAGGAAATACCAACCACCGCGGCCCGCGCCGCTCATCTTCGGTGGGCGGCGGCCATTTTCCCACACTGGCAAAATCGTGCGCCTCGGCGTTAACGCAGCACACAGCCTCTCCACGCCGACGGTGACGGAGAAGCCGAAAGCCAACCGTGGGCCGGGCGTTGTACGACGGCCTACATGAGTCCGGTCGGGTGCGTTCCGACGTCCCGCGGGCTTCAAGAGGACGCGCAGGTTTGGTTTCGGTCTTGTCGCCGTCCAGCGCTGTGCTGACATCAGTGTTAGCAGCGGAAGGAGACTTTGAGAAGACTGCACGTCATAGCAATCATTTGGATCATGAACCAGGCAATGCAGCCACATTCCGGCACGGCCGCCCTTCCCGATCCCGACCTTGTCCGTCACCGACGCGCATGAGGAGGTGCGGATTCGGCTTCGTCGCGTCGAGCGTCATGCTGACGTCAGTGTCAGCAACGGAAAAGCGGGGAGAGAAGAGGGAAGTACTTCTGTGAACACGATGCCGCCGCGGCGCAGGGGCTCTTCAAGTGAATCAAGTCTAGATCTGCTTGCCCGGGTCAAAGTTGCTATTCCGGCTTCCCAGTGGCGATTGTCCTGTTGCGTCAGGTGCCAGTGGGGTCTCCTGATCTCTGCGAGTGAGTCGAAGGGACCCGGAACACGTGGTCCTTACTACATAAGCACAGGGCCGGCATCGCCTGATCTATCATCCATCGCCGTCCAGGCGGCGGGCGGAATCATCTGCCTGGGCCGGGACCGAGCGCGGCTAATACTTATACTCATTTGCATTGAAAACACCGAAGTTGACCGAAGAAAGGACACCTGGTGCCTTGCGCCGCCGACACGCCGGCGCGCACGGTTCGGCGCGGCCGGCCGCACCAGTTATGAGACTGGGTGACTTACATTAGTACTTTTTTGCTTCGTCCACTGGCACGAAATGCACGTCCCGCTGCGGCGCGCCGCTCCCATGAATCAGGATGCATATGCACTGCGACACCACAAGGCTGATATTCAAGTTTGCATAAACCTCGGGCTCACAGACATTTACACTGAAATTCTGTGTGATTCAACTTGAAGAGTGGTTCAGTGTCGTCATCGCGACTGTATCATGGGCGTGTAACAAAGGCACAGACACGGTATCGTCCGTCGTCAGGGCCGTGCCTCGGAGCGGGCTAGCGCCGGCTTCAAGGTCGCCGCTGGTTGCTGGCACCAGTATTTCCTTCGCAGAATCTCCATGGGCAGCAGTAGCCGCGTCGGACTGAGCGCCGGTCACAACATCAATGTCGACAAGTCGCTCCCGTAAAAACGCGACAACTCCAGCAGACGTGGATCCTGGCGCCCCGCCCTCCGTGCGCAGCGCCGGGAAATCATCGTTCCAGTTGCGCACGAGCTGATTCCGTTGGAACACGTGCACGAAACCGAGCGCACTGAGGGGGCGCCGCCCTGGCGTGGCATATGCATGAGCGAAATAAGCCAGCGTTGTCTGAGTTATGGCTTACCTAAACCAAAGTAGAGCACACTCGCGCCAAACAGGAAGGAAAATATGCCGTCCACGAACGTCCAGAAGCCACCAACGGACGTGATCCCGTCTAAAACCGACGCATCTGTGTATTCCACATCGGTTCTGATGATTCGCGGTGGCTGGATGTTGATGATGACCAGACTCGACTCTCCTTGCGTCGGCTCCGACGAAAGCGTCATGAAGTGCGGGACGTATACTACTTCCTGGTATCAAATTAGTTGGGCTGTAATATGAATGGCGACTCGGATGGGCTGATCTCACCGGATGTTTTGTCTTCAGCTCCCGTTTGACCCATCCGAGTGAGGCACGCATGGTCGTGTTGATCCCGAGGAACAGCGACTGGCCGCTGTTCCGCGCCGCTCTAACCTGAGGATCCAGAATCTGCGAAATTGTGAGGTATGATCTCCGCGTCGACCAGGGCATCAGCGCGACATCGAGGGCAGCCATGGTCGCGGGAACGCCGGTGTCAGGAATAGCTGCCCGGAATTCCATGCTTGCGATCTCGTTCCAGCCGAAGGAGCCTGACGTTCGCTCATTAGTAACCTGACCAAATTTCAAGTTCATTGGCTTACAACTGGTTTCGAATCCTCCCGATTCTGAAAGGTCTAATGAACCGCATGTTCGTGTGCGGTATCCGTCGAGAGTGGTGGCGGTATAGACTACCTTGAATGCGCTACTGCTATAGTTGGTTTCATTCGGCGGCAAGGGCTGGTTTAATAATACGTTTTCCTACACAGCGAGGCCGCGGATATAATAAGCAAGAAATTCGTGAACTAAGAGGAAACACACCAGCATGAAGTTAAGCCTTCCGGACAAGACATTGGGGTCGGGAACGCTCCAATGCTTATCGAGTTGCGTCCCAGACAAAGTGCGCACATACACTTGGGAGTCAAGCGGCCGCAGCACGATGGAGTAGACCGCGAACCCGATAACGCCAATTGTTACTATGTTGATCAGGATGGCCCGCGGCGCAATGATCATGGATGATTCTCCTCTAAAGATTAAATCAGATCGAAAAACAAATGGAAAGAAAGAGGTAAGAAGTCCGGCACCTGATTAACGGCCGCATCACAGAGCGGTTCATGAAAACACTGCGGAGGCTATATGGTGGACTGGCGATGGTACATCCTCCTAGAAACCTCCAACTGGACTTGACGCCACTCGCCGCGCGGAATATGAGGAAGATCCCAAGGCAGGCCATGACGATGATGTTGAAGCCGGAGTAAATGAGGGGAATATAGCCCAGCAGATAGTGCAGCTGGACATTGCCCACTGGATCAGAGACGAGCAGAAATATTAAGTCCTGGAAAGTCGCCAACACTGGCGCAATGATACTTTATATCAAATAAGTCGCCTCAGGAAACCGATTACTCACAATAGAGCTCCAGAACGATGAGGATTAAGTCGGTAACCACGACAAGCAGCGTGTATATGTCTTTAAGATGGGCGACCTTGAAGGCAAGGACAACACTAGATTAGGTTTTTTAGTGCCGACCCAAACTAAACGAGCTTGAACTGACACAGTAGAATGGTGAATGAAGACCACAATGTGTGCCGCAAAAGCCCGAGGAAGCTGTGTCCACCATAGCTTGTTCCAGTCAAAGGTGAAGCTGCCCGCTAAGTAGTTGCTGTCATAGACCGCCGTCATGAAATAAATTGCGAGCCCCAAGGCGACCGCATTAGAGAAAAGGAGGAGTCGGAGGTTATAGACTCGCGGCTCGGGCGAGTAGAGCGAAAGGACAAGCGACCGAGCCACCTGAGCGTAGAGCGAAGCCATAATGCCCTGGGTATTGTCTGTGTTCGCTTGTCCTTATATCAGTGCCTGGCTGAACGAGCCTGTGGGAAGTTGTCTGCGAAGATCAAAGTCAATTCGATTCTTCGAAGCGGCTGTCGGACTTCGATAACATAGATCGACACAACCGGTCATGCACCAAATTGGCTCGCGCCAGCGCTGTGCAGACTATCAGCGCAGTGGTCATAAACGTGAACTTCCACCGCCGATCACATTAGTATCTAGCATTGAGCAAACGATTGCAGCTGTATTGGCCTAGAAGACGGTCAGCAGTCTCCCCGAACTTGAATAGATTCCCAGGCTGCGGGGAAACATCATCTTCCCATTCAATAGCAAGCGCTGATCAACCATGAGTCGTCTGCACTCGGAAAACGCAAATATTGGAGGTCCTGAACGGATTTTGTGGTTAGTGCTCGAAGAATGTTATTCATGTAGGATTCTTACGATTCGCCGCTACAACTTGAACTTCTGGTTCCCTAACGGATGCAGAGTTATATCCAGCGGTGGCGGAGGCTGAAAGTCAATACTGGGTCGAGGACACGGGGTATATATTGGAGCGGGTATTCTGGGCTGAGTTTATGCCCCTTGAGACGACAGAGCCTCTAAGTGAGTAGTTGCTGTGGCAAGCCCAATTTCAAGTTGCCGGTGGATAAATTGAGGCTCGATATATCTTCCTTTAGCATACACCAAACCTGGCCGGCGCCTAAATCTTTTGTTGTGGGTCCCTTTCATCCGCGCGCAAATGGCTCGGACTGCAAAAACTGCTGGATGAAAGGTGAAACGAAGCTGCCAAGTTGCTGCCAAGGCACGTGACCAGTGCCGAGATCAGCCGCCAGGTGAATCCAGGCCGATGACAGCAGACGTTTCTCCTCGTCGCCCTCACCTCCCCCGCCCTCCTCCTCCACCTTTTCCTCGACGAACCCGCCTTAAAATGCGCGCATACGCTGCTCTTGCTCTCGCCCTTGCTGGTGCTGCCTCGGCCGCCGTTTCCACCAACGGTCTGAAGATCCTTGCGCCTGGTGGCGACAACCTTTGGTGGTGTATGTCTTTCCTTCTTTTTCATCTCGCCGACATTCTCTTTCCCCTGCCTACTTCACCTTAGGCTATGTTAAGGCTGGAGGGTCTTCCTCGAATATTTTTCCTCTTTTTTCCTCTTTTTCTTCCTTCCTTCATCCGTCCTCTCCGTTGAACTCTTTGCTGACTCTGTTGCAGTGCAAGGTCAGGATAACAATGTCGTCTGGACTTGCAGTCAGAGCCAAATTCCCCAATTCACCGTCTGGTGCGCCGACTCACCTCCTCCGATCCCTGTCCACTAATTCTTCTCTCAGGCTCAACAACACCGACACGGCCAGCACCATCAGCGCCATAACCGCACTGTGCGTCTTCCTTCGTATCCGCTAAGCCGTCTCTGACGCCATTTCCAGTATCTCCGTCGAGCCGAACTACGTTTGCGCTCAGCTCCTCACGGCCAACCTTCTTAGTCGCGCACCCGTCGGCACCGGCTACACTATTGTACTCACCAGCATCACCAACGCCACGGAGGTGAGCACTTTCGTTTCTCCCACCAAAAAGATGTTGACAATGTGCATATAGATCTACGCCGTCTCTGACCCCTTCGAGATCAAAGCTCTCAGCGCCGGATACCCGCCTGCGACCAACACTCCCGTTGACGCAGCGAGTGCCACAGTCAGCAGGGTGTGTTTGACTGATTCCATTTGCTCCAGTGAAGCTTATATTTTGTAGGGCAGCGCTTCCGTCGTAACTGGCAATCCTACCTCCTCTGGCTCTCCTCCCACCAAGAGCAACGCCGCCGTCTCGTCCCGCAATCTTGGCGTCGCCGGCGTTCTTGGTGCCGCGGTTTTGGGTGCTGCTCGCCTCGCCCTCTAAGTGCTATTGTTGGCCCAATGATAATGTGACGATTCCTACTACATATGGACCTGTGTCTCTCTGTCCCTCCCCACATTTTACTATTACTAGTCGTCGCATACCCTACGTACCTACTGTCTTTTCCATGTCTGTCGATCGAAACAAACTTTTATCCTATCCTTTACCCGCAACTGAGGATGACATAAGCCTGTTTTTGTCTCCAACAGTCATCATATCATGTCTTTTGCCCAACTGAAGGCTACGCGCAACTTGCGCAACACGCATGCCAGGCACTCGTATGTCACCTCAGATCCTCTCAGTACGCGTCTACAAGCTGCAGAAGACTCAATCGAGCACCAAGTGTCCAATCCTGACCCAACTCTTGGTTCTACACCAACACTCTACAAGTCCATTCCCTCTTCTTTACTAGAGGTTAAAACGGATGCTACAAAAGGACGTGGGCTGTGGACCAAGCAACGTATTCCTTCTGGTATGTCAACCAATCAGGAAGAAAATTTCGCCTTGACACCAACTAGGCCAGAATATCCTCGCTCTTCTGCCCTATGCGGCGGCTCTTTCGAGCGGCAAACTGAGTACATATTGCTCTTTATGCTCCAGCGCTTCCGTCTCTCCACTGCGATGCACGCAATGCCAGATGGTTTACTACTGCGACGCGGTCTGTGCTTTTATTGGCCGCGGTTGACCATATTGACGCCGATAACAGACGTGCCAATCCGCTGACTGGCCAGTACACAAGTTTGAATGTCCCGCTTTGCGTCGCTGCATACCCGCATCTGCGACTGAAGAAACAAGCGAAGATATGGCACAGGGAGTCGCGATCCCCGGCGATGCGGTTCGTTGCCTTGCGCGTATGATGTGGCGGAAGAGGAGGAAGGGTCTAGCGAGGTGAGTGGGTGGGTGCTGGCTTTCTTTTTTTTCAAGAGTCACTTTTGTTGACCGTTTACTATAGGCGCAAGAAATTGACGCTATGCAAGCGCGTGAGTAGCTTTTCGTATTCTAATAAAGCTTACCAAAGTTCGCATTCCAGATCCGCCTGCCACGCCCTCTGCCCAAGAACAACACACCCATCTTGCATTATCTCTTGTACGGTTCCTTGGCCTCAGCTCGCCGCAAGAGTTGGCGGAATTTGGGATCAACAGTGGTGCAGAATTGGCCCAAATTGTTGCCAAAGTTCGTGTCGATTGAACGCTCGTGAAATCTGCTAATAGTTTCATGTTATAGTTCACCCCGAATACCTTCACTTTGAGCGCCCCCGATCTGACACCCATTGGCGCCTGCATCTCTCCGCCTGTCGCCCTGATCAACCATTCCTGTCAACCCAACGCTGTTGTGGTGTTTTCGGGGAGCGATAGAGGCAAAGAACCGATTTTGCATGTCGTCACAATCCGCGAGGTCGAGGCCGGCCAAGAAGTCAGTGTTATTTTCCTTCTCTCTATGGTCTAATCAACTGTATTAGATATTAACGGCTTACATTGACACCACTCTGCCACGAATCCAACGCCAACATGCAATAAAAGAAACCTACAATTTCGATTGTGTTTGCGTGCTCTGCGGACAGGAAGGGAAGCGGGCAGATCCAAGAGAGTCCGTTTGGTGCTCCAAACGATGTGGCGGGTTGTGTCCCATGCCGACTGAAGGTAATTTCACTAGTTCCTACTATGACACCTACTCAGTATTCGATAGAAGACCCATTGTCACAATGCGACTCCTGCAATACTGTGCTTCGCGACACCGATGCAGTTTTGGACGCAACACGAGTTGGTCAGCAAGGGCTTGACAAAGCCCAAACAGTCCAATTTTCTGGTGAATATCGTGCTTGACATTCCTTCATCTCAAGCTTATCATTCACAGATCGTAGCAAGTCCCAGCAGCTAACGACAAATCTTATCCCCATTCTCGCCTCCGCCGGGCTTACTCCTGCTTCCCATCCACTGCTTGCTCTGCGCAGGCTGCATTTGGGAATGCTCATCGAGGATGTCTCAATCGTCTCAAGTTCCTCTTCCCTGGCCGCTGCCGAAGCACAGAAAATATTGGATGAGGCAGTCATTACCGCTACACAAGTCTGTGCTGGGTTGGACATGATCATGTCATATGGGCATCCCGTGCGGGGTTTGGCGCGAGCGGAACTAGGGAAACTGCTGGCTGTAGATGAGCCGGAACCCCGTTTGTCTCCACCAACAGCTGCTCCAGGTCCATTTCCTCCGAGTGGCTCAGCTCGTCTACGACTGGCATTGGACACATTATTACTCGCTCGTGAGGAGTTGAAAATTGGGTTTGGTGTGGCTAACGAGGGCGGAGATATAGGACGTGTGGTCAGGGAAGATATTGTGCGACTGGAGAAGGAGCTGGGAATTTGGAAAGCAAGAGGCGGGGAAGCGATGAGGGACGCAAAAGCCGGTAACTTGAAGTAAGCCACGGCGATATATTAACGAAGATGTGTACTGTGAATACGGAAATGCAGCTGGTATGTATGTAACTGTGCAAATGACAGAAGACCCAGATACGATTGGTGCATTTTTTTAATGGTCCTTCCTTCCTTTTTCATGTTTCGACGAGCGCGCGGTTACCAGGGTCACTGCCCTCGGGCCATTGATAGCCGTTCGCCGTCTCCTCAGGACTGGCGTTTTCGCTGACCGTAAGCCAGGCTTCCAACCTCCGACCCAGCTCGCCCCCACGTCCGCCACAAATGTCGCCAGTCGTATCAAGCATCTGCTCCTTCTCGCGTTCAAGGTTCTTCGCGAAAAGCTTGCTGGTCGGTTTTCCGGTGGCAGCGCCGCCTTTGCCGGCTTTTGCTTTCTCCCCGCTGTCTCGTCGGCGGCTAAGACTCTCGCCGAGGAGAGAGCCGTCTTTTTCAGACTCGAGGCTTTCGGAAAGAGACTCGTCGAGGTCGCTGTCGGGAGAGCCGGCATCTTGCTCGACTGTATCCGGGTCGTGATACCACTCTTCTTCCGCCTCTGGGGGGCCGAGAATGCTGTCGACCAGACCCTCTTCCCAGCCGTCCCATTCGACAACGCGATGGGCCATTCGGAGACGCATGCCGGTCCGTTCGTGGTGGAGCCATTCTCGGGCAAGCAACGGCATTTTGGAGCCGTCTGATGATGCGAGGCGACCAACTGCTTCGCGGAAGAGTTTGGCTGTGAACGGAGATGATTGGAGGAAGGCAGGGAGATGTGCGGCTGCCCAGAGTGGGCGTGTGGTTGTTGATTCCCAGTCGATTATGCAGGTCTGCAAGTGATAACGTGTTAGACTTGAGAAAGACGTTGATTGGGGAAACATACAATAATGGACGGGTCTTGGCTGTCCACAAAGACATTCTCCAGGCTCATATCGTGAGCGTCGAGAGCAAACTCCTCGTCCTGCTTGCCGCCAACACCGACCCTCTCTGTTCCAGCTCGCCATTCGGCGCGTAACGTTTCCATCACACCCATCCACCTCGCCATTTCTCTCCTGACAGCATCTTCACGCTGGTTCATGTGGGGGATCAGGAAGGTACTCCGTTGCTGCCTTCGATAGTCACGGTACATTACATCTCCAGGGCCCTCCCACTCGTCCTCACTCTCCTCTAGGTCCCACTCATCTGAGTCGTCGCTCTCGTCTCCAGGCACACCAGCAACGTGATGGTGGCGACTGCTCCTGATCTCGGCAGGGTCCAGGTGAAGCTTATGGCCGGCTGCGGACCCGGCGTTTTCACGTTGGACGCCGAGTATTTCGCGGTTTACGCAGGCGGCAAAGTATTCTTGTGAGGACGAAAACGGGCCGCGGGGGACATCGGTGGAGGGCAGGTCGCCTCGATGAGTGCCGAAGAATGGCCAGGAGATGATTGGGCCCACATGAAAGGGCTGTTTATCTTTGGAGAATGCCGGAACGCGGGGGGTGAGGGTAGGGGAGAACGGAAAAGCCGTGTAGGGCTCTTGATTCGCTCGCGGGGTAAGCTTCTCTGCAAGAGACGACATTACAAGCGAAGATCCACGAGTAAGAGTGGGTGTTGGTGAATTGCTGGTTGAGGGGGATGGAGTAGTTGGATCCGGACCATTGTAGAGTGAGCCTATACGGGGAAATCGGTGACCAAAGAGCGGAATATAGAGCTTTGCAAGGTTGTCCATCAGCTGTACGAGCTTCGCATAGGGCATGGAATGGTAGGCTTGCGACAGAGGAATTCCTGGAGCCTGAAAGTGACATGATTGTTGGAACGAGAAGGTATAAGCATCATCTACACACTTTGGACATGATGATGTATTCTCCGCCAAGACGATTATATGGATTGGAGTCGTAATGGTGGATTTCGGGGACAGATAATTGCGTCTTTTCTCGTAAATAGCGCAGAGTAGCTATCTCGGACTCGGTCTTGAGACGCGGCATGAAACGGCGCGCCACTCGTGCGACCACTTGGTGCGAGGATGTGAGCGTAACGAGGTAGGCCTGACAAAGTATCGGAGGTTGAACGGGAGGTGAGTAATAATGAGACAACTCACTTTGTGGAATGTGCCTGCACTGAGAAAGACAATCCTTGCCACCGGGGTCTTCATGTGCTCCAAAACCACGTCCTTCAACACTCGGCGGTCCACCTCAAACGGCATCGCGCCGTGTTGGGCTTTGTCGGCCAATGCTTCGCGCTTCCGGTCTGCATGTTCGATATCCCAGTCCCATTCTAGAGGGGGGACTGTGCCGGTGACGCCAATGTGGGCTTGGGCAGTCATGGGAAAGGTGGTAGCAGAAAGAGAAACGCGCTGACGACTTATCAGTTTCCAAGGACTATATCTCTAGTTCCGTAGACCCTACCTCTGGTTCTGCCACTTCAATTTCTAGTGTCCTGTGAGTGTCCTCTGAAGGCAGGCAAAAGGCAAACAAGCACCTCAATCAATGCAATAACGAGCTAGTCGTCTCCGTCGCCTCCCCGGTTTGTCGTTGGTAAGCAGCCTGGGCCTTCTTGCGGGGACGGATAGCCCCTCTTTGACCCGCGTCGAGGCAAACTCGGGGGAAAGCGGGTAGTGAGTAACGCGACCTTGTAAAGTGGGCGTCAGACTCAGAGGGGGATGAGAGCAAGAGGAAACGGACATCACTGCCGGCTATTTTCGCGTATAAGCATAGGCTAACTCGGTTCTCCCCGCCACCGCGCTGTCTTGGCCTGGTCTTGGCAGCTTCGACGCCGCTGCTTCTATCTCCACTTTCCCACTGCTGCGAACTGGACTGGTGTTCATGGTTTTTTTTCTACGACTCCTCACAACTTTCGGTGTATTCGGGGATAGACCGGCAGAGCACACGTTTGTGGGGATCTATCGCATCGCATCGTTGATATCGGCTTCGGGCCTGACCCGGAATTCACTTACGAACACAGCTTGCGTCATCGCTTCATTTGAACCTTCCGCCATTTATTTCTTTTTCTGGGGCAACCTCAGGCATATTTTTGGGTGTGTCTGCCAACTACAAGAGCTTTCGGAAACTTGAGCTTCAGGCGCAGGTATCAAAATATACATGTGGGTCATTTGCTCAACAATCGCAAGCGATTTGGCGACGCTAGCTATTTCATGCTAGCCTATCAGTCTATGACTGGATAAATTAACGCTTAATTTCCTCCAAATATTTGGGTCGCTGGCGGTGACAGCGTCAGAAAACTATAATAAGCAGTCCAGCGAGGAAGTAGTAATGAGCATCCAGCGCAGGTTTACATAATGCGCAGTGTTTCGTTTGGTGTGCCTCAGTGGCTAGATACTTATGGGAGGATAGTGTGGCGATCTATAAGGTGCAAGACTCACGGTATTCATAACTAACGCGCCAACGCCAATCTGAATTGTGAAATTGGTCGGATTTGAGGTTAAAATCAATCCATTCAAGTCTCATGTAAGTAGGACATCGACAAATTCTCTTTCTCGCTCTTTTTCCCCTTCCTTCTTTCCTTTTTTGGGAATTAATATTTTTTCCCTCCGGTGCCCACAGCATAGGTATCTAGCCATAACTAATACGCTTGACACTACTTATTTATGCGTGCCGATGGGACAGAACGTGACGAGGTGGAATTCAAATCACGTGCTCAGCGGAGATTGAAAAGACGCGTCAATAAGAGACAACAACGCGTGACTGTCACGTTTACACTCTTGCTTTCACTCCTCCAGCACCAACTCGTCGACACCTCGCCGTCGACCTCATCATCATCCAACAACAACACTCCCACCCCCACCCAACTCAACAACAGCAGCATGTCTGGCCGTGGCAAAGGTGGCAAGGTGCGTCCTATCATCGTCTTTTAGTTTGGATGTGGCATGCTCATCGTCGTGCTCGTCGCTGTTAGGGTCTCGGAAAGGGCGGAGCCAAGCGTCACCGCAAGATTCTCCGCGACAACATTCAAGGTGCGTTCTCGCCTTGCGCTACCCCAGCCTACCACTGACATTCACTTCAGGTATCACTAAGCCCGCTATCCGTCGTCTCGCCCGTCGTGGAGGAGTGAAGCGTATCTCTGGTCTCATCTACGAAGAGACTCGCGGTGTCCTCAAAATCTTCCTCGAGAACGTCATCCGCGACTCGGTCACGTACACTGAGCATGCCAAACGGTGAGCATCCCTCCCTTCTTATTCTTAGCGACGTTGTTGCTGACGATGCCGACAGCAAAACGGTCACAGCGCTCGACGTTGTGTACGCTCTGAAGCGCTCCGGTCGTACCCTCTATGGTTTCGGGGCTTAGACTGGAGATGGTATGCTACCATCCTAACACTCGTTTGACCCTGAGCTGACGATGACTCATAGCATTGCGCACAGACCATCGGCTCCGTTATTCTTATCTTGTCTTTGTAACTGTACCCAATGTACCCTTGTCTTATTGCCATCCTCTATTGAATGAATAAATACCTCCTGGTATTATCCTTTCCATCCGTATGTAGGGATAGATTACCGCAGTGGTCCCGAATCGGAGAGCGTAGCGGGGTCCATCTAGTAAAGCTGTTAATTGCTTGTCCTTATTCGGTTTATAGTCATGCGATGATTAGAGCAGCCTCGTCAGTGATCATAAAGCTGAATTGAATGTCCTTTGCTGTCATGGTGCTACAGAGGTGTATGATACAATAGTAACGATTGAGTGAGATATACGCAGGAAAGAGTGATCACAATGCATAGAGCATAAGCAACTTGTAAAAAAAAGTAAGTCCATCGGAGAAAACCGACCAGTTTCATTAAAGATAAGACTCGATTCAACTGGTAGTCCTTTCACTTGCAGGCCAAGGCGATCGCCTGAGTCGGTGTAGAGTAGAAGAAGAACAGGGTGCCGATGATGCAGTAGAGAGCTTGAAGGGCTCTCAGCTTACAGGTTGGGAATAGGTTGTCCGAACTCACCAATCAAGATCATGCCCTCCAACTGTTTGTGGGGTTAGTCGAAAGGCGGTTGGGATGTATTTACAAACGCACCCAGTTGCTCTTGCCGTCCGCGACGACATAATTGACGGTTAGGACTGCGAGAAGGAGACATACGGCCTGCATGGGATCGAAAAGGAAGGACATAGGTTTGTCAGCGCCCCAGCCGACAATGACGATAAGGCTGCGAGAACCGTGGCAAGAGTCAGAGAGATGAAGCGGAGCAGAGGTGGATCGTTGCTTACGGGATAACGAATAAGGCGATTTGCTAGGAAAGGAATAAATCATCAGCTAGTCAAATAACGAAGGAAGATACATACGATGCTTGAGCCGACAGCTATGCTCAGGCTCAGAGTCAGCTTGTCCTTAACGGAGCTCGTAACGGCGGAGACATGTTCCGCAATGTTACCAGCGATCGGGAGGAGTACAATGCCAACAAATGCCTTGGAGACTTTGCCGGACTCGGTCAGGCCATTGATTGAGTCGACCAGGTATTCAGCCACAAGTGCGACCAACTGAGCATAGTTAATTTCATGCAAGATTTCGAGGAGTAGAAGTGGGTCTGACCACAGTGACGATAACCAGTAGTCCGAGGCAAACGGCAATGTGCAATTCAGGTGTTGGGATTTGTTCGCTTTGCTCGCGGATAGCTTGAAGCCCGGTCCTAGACTCAGTCTCTTCCGGTTCTGATGTCAGATTGGCACATTGCATTGGCGCCACTGGGGGAACGCGAGTGGTAGGTGTTGGTGGAAAGACCTGTAGCTCGACAGTCGGGGACTCGCACTGCCCAGCGCTGACGCGATCTCGAATCCACGGTGTAGATATGAGAATGTCAGCGCTGTCGTCGGCATATACTTCCTTGTGAGAAACAAGTTGAAATACAAGATAACCGCCATAAACTGCACCATAATGCGCGTTAGACACGAAAGAAAATGGGAGTGAAAGATTACCGAAAAGCAAAATTAAGGCCATCTGACACGGTGTTAGCATTGGACAGGTAGAGAGACTGTAGCGCACTCCGTGACTGAAGCGCAGGATTTGGACCTGTGTTTGGATCTCGTCCGCTCCGCTCGAATCGGCGCTGAACTTGTATAGCATCGGGAGGAGGACGGCGACGACGCTGAGCGTGAGGAGAGAGCTGTTCAACTGTGCAGCGCCTGTTATTTGTTAGCCACGAAGAGTTCGGATGAAAGCATTCCGAAAATGGGCAAAGGGCTAGAAGATTGCACTGTCTAGCGCCTTGTCTGATCTACGGCACGCATTTGCAGAGAACGAAAATAAATACGCACCCATGGCGAACCCTTGCTCGGAGAACCTCATCCCGCCCAGGAAGAAACACATTCCAAGAACCAGTACTAGCAATTGAGTTGAGTAACAGCAGTTGGACCAAATATGGCAACAATGATGGACCGCGTACGGAGGTTTCCAAGGATGGAGCCGATGACTAGCACATTAGGATAGCAAAGGCTGTAAATTTAGAACTTACGGGAGGATTGAACGATATCAAGTTCACAGTGGATTAGCGCGATAATCTGAGTATTAAGGTTTAGATCTCAGGCTGCCAGTGCGCCGACACATCAGGCCGTAACCGAGACGCGAAGACTTACAGCCACGATGAGTTCCACACTAGGATCCGAATTAACTCGTGCTTAAAATGAGGCAGAAGCGCACGTACACATTGCCCTGCCATACCAATGAAATGGTTCCGAAATCCACTGGCAGATAACTCACAAGTGTAGCGTTTATTAGACCTGCCATTGCCTGACCCACGCGGAGAGATACCTCCTCGGTCGCGAACGACAGAAGCTGGTGATAAAATGTCGGTTATTTTCCCGAGCATGAGAAGACGGAAGGCACGGACATGCGCGAGAGGAATGATACCAATGAAGGATGCTGTGGTGATAATGTGAATATAGATGACCACCCGCAGACATGGCCAATGGCAAAACCGGTAGACGCACTGGAGAAGATCGCAGCATGTTGTTCGGGAACAGCAAAATGAAGTGTAAACTGGGACGCGATCAGGCAAGAGGCGCGGTTTTGCAGAGAGCTCACCGAGACAGGTATGAAAGAAAGCAAAAGATTAAACCCTGTGGTGCGTGAGAAGCTTTCCCTACGCAGCGGAGGACAAGTGGACGTACAAGAGTAAAAAATTATATTCCTGATACTCGTCGAGATATTGGGGGACGGCGCAAGTTTCTTTGCCGGCGTGAATGGGTTGTTCCAGTTGACCCTGGCCAGCGCATTCTTGATAGCCTCCCAGCCACTCTGGGTTCTAACGCCGCCTTGAAGGCTTTGCTGTGATGCAACGGTTGTCCGACGTCGAGCGATCGGTTCGGGGTAACTTTGGCCCTGTCCCTCCTCGGCCCTAGTTAGTGTGTGTGTTGAGCGTTTCCGCAGGGGCCTCCGGGAGTCATTCGTGGCAATTGAACTTGCTGTGACGATTGGTACTAGCGTGTGAGTAGTGTATATGCCCTGCTGTTGAACGGTGAGGGACTCGGATTGAGAAGACATGATTCAGAAGAAGTTTCGGGAGAGTGGATGATGGAGAATGCGAGCTGAAGTTCCTCTTTATAAGGCTCTCAAGGCTGTACATCCGTGTTTGGACTCTGGCACAACGATTTGGCCACACTGTGGGTCCATCGACAAATACAACAACGGGCATTGTACTTCAAGTTCTATTGTCGTTGTTTTCTGTTGTCAAGTAAAAGAGTATCAGCGACGAAGAAGTGTGATAGAAACATGGGATAAGAAAACCTTATATTTGGGTCTTTTGTGGAGGCTCGGCGTCTGGAAGGGATTTATGTAGAAGCAGGAAATGCCACTGGCCATTGAGCCTGAATGACCAACTAAGAGCTTGTGTGAAGCGGGACAGAACTATCTCTGTGACATGCACTAGGTCGAAGGCGTCTGCGCGTTGCATCCACAAGTACTGGATGACGGTCATCGGGATGAGGTAATTTTTTGTGAGTGTCACAGTGAGTCACACCGTGCGGTGCTTGTCATTGATGTGATGCGCTGCGTGATCGCCGCTGAGGCAATTTGCGTTCTATGTCAGATGTGCAACTTGCGGAGGCTCAACACATCTCGACTAGTATATCGGTTAGTACACGCGCCTGTCATGTTCATTCGTGCGCGCGAAAGCTGGGTTCGACTCCCAGGTCGAGAGATTAATTTTGGCAAGCGCTTGGTCAACTCCTGCCTTCCCCTCTTTTTATCGATGGCCAAACCTTGTTTTCGCATATCTGTTACGTCCTAGTTCCAACTGTGTCGCCCGTGTGGCACTCCCTCTTCTACCCTATCGCATGCATGGCGGCGGCGCTTATCAGCAATCAATGCATCAACACTACCCTTCTTTTCTCCGGTCTCGACTCTGGCCTTCCCAACGGCAGTGCCAAGGACCACTTGTCCGTGGTCAGCGCGCATAAGGAGACAAACAATAGTGCTGTTGAGCTTGAACTGTGTATACCCGCAGCTCTCGCATAATAGGCACCATATATTTGTTCTGGACGGACGCCTTCCTCGGTGCCTCATTCTTTTGGGCAAAGATTTGCGTTGTCATGAAGGGATGTGTACATCTTGAGCTGTCAATGGTCGCGCGGTCTGATCTGACCGACACGAAGGCAGCCCCGGGTATCGAAGTATGTGGAGAAAATCTTTCCTTCTTCCTCTCGTCTTCAATTTTACCCTTTGGTTTTCCTGCGCTGCTCCCTCCGCCTTGAATATTCGAATCAGAGTCCTGCTCAATGCTCTGGCTCATCGCGAGCGTTTTCCTATTTGCGTTCACTGGCGGCTTCGTCAATGCCATCCCAAAAGTGATGAGGACAGGCAAGTACTTGTATACGGAGGACGGGACAAGATTTTTCATTCGAGGAATCGCGTACCAGACGCAAGGTTGGCCTCTGATTGTCTTCATGAGTGATATTCACTGAGTATTCCAGGCCTCGTCATTCCTGGACCCGACAATCCATTGAATCAGCCCTCGACCTGTACGTTCCTTCTCTGCTCAACCCTCCATAAAGCTATCATTGACTAGCCTACCAGACGTTGACAATTTAGCTGACGGCGCTGCTTGTCAACGAGACTTGCCATTCCTTCAACAATTGGGCGTCAATGCTATCCGGGCCTACTCAGCCAATGCCTCGCTCAACCATGATGCTTGTATGGAAGCTTTCAGCAAAGCGGGAATCTATGTTATGTGCGTGTGTTTCTTTTCTTCCCCGCCTATGCGGCAGCACGCTGGAGTTTGGCGCCAACATATCGGTGGATTCTCCCGCGCCGCCCGACGCCGTCATTCGATTTTAATCCGTATGCTATAATTGCTAACGTCTCTACAGCTTGGACCTAACACTCCGTGAGACGCGCCGTTCAAGTTGAATACCTATCGGACTGATGCAAGAGACTAGCCCTCAACGGCTCAATCGACACCAATCTTCCTATGTGGAGTACCAACACGCTGGACCAGTTTCTCCGTACAATCGACGCGTTCAAAAAGTACGACAATGTTCTCGCATATAATGTCGGCAACGAGGTCATGACGCCGTCTGGTGGCTCACAATCTGCGCCATTCATATTGTCAGCTGCGCGAGATGTCAAAGCTTATCTGTAAGTCTCTTTTCTATCCCGAAAGATTTGCCTTGAGAATACTTGGAAGGAACTCTATTCAATCCTCAGCTCTGGTTGGGTACGCGTCAATAGACGGCATGCCCCCATTCGTCGACAACAATGCCGACTTTTTAGCATGCAATCATCCAGACGGGCATGGCGCCGCCATCGACTTATTCGGTTTGAACAACTAGTTTGTCCAGTTATTTCATGCATGTTTTTTTTTACTAATTCTGTATTATAGTGAATGGTGTGGTGATGACAGCAAAACTCGGTTCGATAGTATGAATTCGCGGTACACGGACTATCCAGTCGCCGCTTATTTGTGAGTCTTGAAAACTCGAAAAGAATTGTCACAGAACTAACTTCGATTGCAAGCTCTGAGTTTGGGAGCTTGAATTGCAATCCTCCTGCGCGCATTTGGACGGAGGTGCCGGTGATGTACAGGTCCGTTGTCCATTCGTTACCCTGTGATTATACCAACCGAATTTAACCAGTACTCCCATGACGAACGTCTGGTCAGGCGGCGTTGCGTTTAGCTACTTCTCCGTCATGAGCCGAGGTCACGATTTTGGCATGGCAAAGCTCTCCTCCGACAATCGTAGCGTCTCCACCAACACTGACTTCAACAACCTTGCGAAGCAGTACAATGCCATTGCATCCACACTCCCCAAAACACCTGCGCAGTCATCTGTGTCGCAGACGAACCTCCCTACTTGCCCAACTGGCCTCAATGCAACATCTTCGGGTGCCCTTCCACCCACGCCTGACGATGATGCGTGCGGTTGCTTGGCTGACTCCCTGATGTGTCGTTTCGCGCCGCCCAAAGCTGATTATACGGTGACAATGGGGAATTTGGTTGGTGTCGCATGCGGACTGATGGGGCAAATGGGTGATCCAACGCCGTGCAAAGATATTTCGGCAGATGGAATCAAGGGTGTTTATGGCAAGGTTGCGATGTGTGATCCCAGTGAGTCGTGTTATTTCTTGTCTTCCACGGAAAATGTGAATTAACAATGTCTCCGTTAGCCATTCGCCTTTCTTATGTCATGTCCCAATATTACGAAGCCGCGCATGGCGTTCCAGATGCATGCAGCTTCGCGGGCAATGCGACTATCAACCCAAATGGCAAGGCCGGCACACAAGCGCTTGCCAGCAAATGTATACCCAGCGCTGCGGTCTTTACCCCAAAGCCTCCGCCAGTTCTGGTGCCCGTCTCTCAACCGAGCCAGAGCGGGAGTGGGAAGGGCGGAGGAAGTGGCGGCGGCAACAATAATGGGAACGGCGGCGGTTCCAACACAAATGGTGGTGTCAGTGGACTGAAACTTGGCCTCGGAGTGGGAACACTGGGAGCGGGGATTGGCTCACTCTTGTTATGGACACTAACAGTTTAGATGCACTTCTAAGTGCATTTGTGGTTTGGGGCTCGGACTTTGAAGTGTATCTCGACTGAGATTTTCGGCAATCGTTTGAAATTACTTAATCTACTGCAGTATTAAAACTATATACATCTTTAAATCTCTTGTGACATCGTTGGAGTGGGCACTAGTACTTCAAAGATACTTTATGGGCTCACGTGCTGAACGAAAGACGCGTCAATAAAAGACAACAACGCGTGACTGTCACGTTTACACTCTTGCTTTCACTCCTCCAGCACCAACTCGTCGACACCTCGCCGTCGACCTCATCATCATCCAACAACAACACTCGCACCCCCCACCCAACTCAACAACAGCAGCATGTCTGGCCGTGGCAAAGGTGGCAAGGTGCGTCCTATCATCGTCTTTTAGTTTGGATGTGGCATGCTCATCGTCGTGCTCGTCGCTGTTAGGGTCTCGGAAAGGGCGGAGCCAAGCGTCACCGCAAGATTCTCCGCGACAACATTCAAGGTGCGTTCTCGCCTTGCGCTACCCCAGCCCACCACTGACATTCACTTCAGGTATCACTAAGCCCGCTATCCGTCGTCTCGCCCGTCGTGGAGGAGTGAAGCGTATCTCTGGTCTTATTTACGAAGAGACTCGCGGTGTCCTCAAAATCTTCCTCGAGAACGTCATCCGCGACTCGGTCACCTATACTGAGCATGCCAAACGGTGAGTATCCCCTCTTGTTCTTAGCGACGCTGTTGCTGACGATGACGATAGCAAAACGGTCACGGCGCTCGACGTTGTATACGCTCTGAAGCGCTCCGGTCGTACCCTTTACGGTTTCGGGGCTTAAACTAGATGTGGGGTGTTGCGTGGTATGTCACCTAGAGCCTCGTTTGACCCTGAGCTGATCGTGACGTGTAGCATTGCGCACGGACCATCTCTTGGCTTTGCCAGTGTATTTTCATGTTGTACACATGTACTTGTCCACACTACTCTACGGTTACCATAGCTCAATGAATGTCTGTCATACATTCTTTGTCTCGTCCTTTTCATTCGGACGAAGCGGCTTTGTCACTTCTGCGAGCCTGTTAGTGTAACTGTGTTTCTTTACTTACGAGGAAATCATAGCCTCCTCGCTTAGCACAAGTCTAAGCCTGCTGCCCCTTGGTCTATTGAGGATTGCTTTCATGTTTCCCACCTGGCGGGATGTTGCCAGTGATTGAACCATGTCGTTTTACAAGATAGTCAGGAGATTGGAGTTTGCAAGCGTATTTTGTGGCATTCTAACGACTGTTACCCTCCAGAGAGTATATCGACGCTGCCAATTCGGGACACGCATTCGAGAGGAAGCAACCTGAGGGTAGGCCGAGAAATAGGCGAACAGGCTTTCGGGCAAATGAATCGAAGACAACCAGGCGTGCGTGTCGATGAGAGCATCGGTCGTCGACGGTCACTTGTCCTTGGCAGGTAAGCTCTCCCACTATCGAGGTCACGGCGATCGTTCATTTCAAAGAATGGGTGCAGATGCGAAGGCGAAGCGGTGGCTATTTCGGATCCAAGGGTCATCTTGCAAGACTTCAATTGAAGAACTTCCAAGTACTGGTAATGATTCGGATACTGTGAGGGATGGACCATCTGTGAGAGTATGTCAGTCTGAGAGATAGAGGGATTTATGGGCCATATTACGAGCCCTCAAGGCCTCAAGCCGGACTTGAACCCGGTCTATTTGAAGCTAGACAAAAAATCATGATGCTAGGAGGGCTTACTTAGATTCAGAGTGCCCCCAATCGAGTAGTAGTCGCTCGTGCAGACGTTTGATTGCAGATATGCGCAGTTTTCAGCCAAAGAGTAGGTGACATTATGACCCAAGCCGGGGATATAGATTCCGAGTCCTTCCAGTGCAGAGGACAGAAGTCTGGTTGCAGCGCCGCGTGACTTTCTGATCAAGAGCCTGTGACCACGGAAGCTTTCTCAAACTCAACGCTTTCTGAAACTTCGACCAGTCAACAGCGTGGAGCTCTGTACCTCAATCGCACCCGTTCAAGACAAACTGAATCCATATCCTGCAATTCTCTCACAATAGTGACGTGTTAGTGGTGTCAATTGACCTAAAAACCGCGTCTCTTTCTGAGTGGGCCAACAAGAAGCTTTGACGTCGGGCACAAGCGCAGCACTCTTCGCCCGAAATTGCTCCAACAATTCGACCAAGTCTCAAAAAGAGCCGATCTCGTGGAGGGGCGGCCCGCCCATCAGATAGTCAGCAGGACAACCAAGGTGAACCAAGGCAAGGTAATTAGGTGTCCGTGGTTTATCCACGGACCGAGAACGACTTCTTTCGAAACCTTTGGGGCGCGCTGCGACACCACATAAAAGGCCAAGCAACGATGGACAGCACTCACCTTTGAGCCAAAAGACCAACTAGTCATGGGTTTCTTCACCTCTTCTTTCGCTCTCCTCGCTGTCGCTGTCGCTAGCGCGTCTGCGTTGCTGATTCCGACCAACGCTACCTTTTCCTCTACCGATCTTTCCGCTCGGGGTGTTCAGGGCACCGGCCAAGGCACATTTAACGGCTTCTTCTGGACCAACTTTGCCACTAGCGGCTTCAGCAGCAATATTTTCACCAACATCGCTGGCGGCCAGTACAAGATCCAGTGGAGCGGCTCCGGGGACTTCGTAGTTGGACAAGGTTTCAATCCCGGTAGCAAATCCAAGTGAGCCTTCGCTTCATTTAGATTCGTCGCGCTAAATGATCTTCCTCTAAAGAGTCGTCAATTTCAATGCTCAATGGGGACCGAATCCTGCCTCGGCGTCTTTGCTTTCCGTATACGGTGGGTACTTCCTATCATGTGCCAGCACGAGAGGCTGATGATGAATCAGGATGGTCGACCAGCCCGCTCGTCGAGTACTACATCAACGAGCAATCGAACAACTTCAACCTCGCCACCGCCAACCCTGGAACCACACACAAGGGCACGGTCACATCTGACGGAAGTGTCTACGACATCTACGAGCACCAGCAAGTCAACCAGCCTTCCATCCAGGGAACTGCGACGTTCCAACAATACATCTCCGTTCGCCAGAACAAGCGCACGAGCGGCAGCGTCACCGTCCAAAACCACGTCAACGCCTGGGCGTCGCTCGGTATGCCGCTTGGCACCATGAACTACCAGGTCGTCGCAGTTGAAGGCTTGGGCAGCTCAGGCCAGGCCACCGTCACGGTCAGCTAAGGGACACTTTGCATCAGTACAAAATCAAATGGTTCAAATATGTATTTGTTTCTCGCGCATTGAGTTCACGACAATGTCCACGGTGTATTAGCGAATCCGACCCGTCGGTTAGTATTGTCCCATGCAGAGTAAAATCGCTCCAGAAATACTTGGCCTTGGGCAAGCAATCAACGTTAATCAACCCGAAGACATGACAAAGGCTCACCGGCAATGCATCCTCCCGGCGTGGGCATGTTCGAAACCGCGAGATAAATCATGTCGGGACGGCCACCAATAGCAGTGTTTAGTGTCGGCGGCCATATCTGAGCGCTCGGCGGGAACTCATATGTCACACCGTCTAGCGTCCCTCAATGCTCCGAGTAGTAGAAACTATCGAGAAGTTGGCTCACTGATAGTGAAGAACAAACTCTGAAGAATCTGGTACTGTGCTGCTGTGATTTGGAAGAGGCCTAAGTGTGTGTCGGTGGAAAGGGTCGCTCCGATTGCCTGTCCATACGCTGCAAACTCGTTAGACCCAAGCCACAAGAGGGTCGTCCCTGATTAGGCTTGTATTCAGATACCAGGAACGGAAAATAACCAGGGTACCAAACCAGTGTCAGCACGTGCAGGCCCGGATTGGATGACAACGCTGTTTGGGCCGGCGCCATACTTGATCGTTTGCGTGTAACCATAGTAGAGATCGAAGTTGGTTTCTACTTTTTTTAATGGACGGTCTTAGAGAACGGCACAATAATACCGATGGGACTAGAACCAGTATAAGAAAATGTTGATGACAAGCCTATTAAAAAAGCGTACACCCAGTTGATAGACCCTACAAATCTTGAGGGATCCACACCACCTGAGACAAGCTTTTTAGTTTTTTTGGGGGGGCAATGATGCAAAGTCAGTCACCGAAAGTGATCTCGCCGTTGAAATGGCCGTTGACATCAATAGGCTCCAACGAGATGCCGATAACATTTTGGGAGACAAGTCCTTGACTTGAAATATAATCAGCATGACCAGAGCCTGCGGTCAGTGGGATAGCGACCTGAATGCGTTGTCCATGACTGTAGAGACCTCCGAATTGTCGGTTTCTAAAGTGTCAATAGCTGCAAATCTTGTCAGTCTCGACATCGGCAATAACAAGTCGCATACTCAAATCTACAGGCCCAAGTCTGTAATTTGCCGATCATAAGTCTTGTATTGAATGAGAGTGCGCGACCTACCCCAAAACACCGTCCACTGCACTCATGTGAAAAAACTGGGCTAACAGCCAATGAACACACAAAGCATACCTCCGACAAAATCATCGCCCTCCCAGCTGGGAAGGCCAACGCCAATGGATTGGTTGATGATCGTGACTCCAGGAGCAATAGTGACCTGGTCAAGATATTCCGTGCCCTAGACATTCGTCTGTCAAGAAAGAACCTTCCAAATGAAGTGCGGACAAAAAGCTCATTATTTCCGTTGCCTCTGTAGTAGAAATACGGAACTTCCTGTGGAGAAAAGGATGTGAGTCTAAATTCCGCCAGTAGAAGCAGCACATACCACGTCGACGCCAGTGTTGATACTGAAGTCTGATGAATAAGCGTAGTCACAGACGGATAAAAGTATGTATACCTTGTGTTTGTTTGGACATATGCGCGTGTGCTGCCGACCCAGGTGTTTCCACTACCAGTGTCGACAATCAAGCTGTCTGTTCCCCAAATTGGTTGCATCCTTACTCAAACACGGTTAACTCACAAAATGTAGGCGGATTTCCGACACCGATCGATGCCTGTGAGCAAGTTAAGTTTCAAAACATTCTCAATAATGCCTAAGTTCACGAACCGTATAGTGAGAGTTAGCGCCAGCACTGAGAATAGTCTGCGATTGTCTCTTTCGGCTGGTGTCAACATTGTCGTTGGCTTGTTGAGAGTAGAGATAGTCAATGCGTGCCAGATCGCGGCTCCGGAGTTGTGCTGCAGTGCTATTGAAGTGCTTCTTCACTGTTATCGCGGCATTAGGCCAAGTGGAGGCAGCAGCACAGAGCATGAGGGCGGCTGGGAGGTAGCACGCCAACGGGAAAGCGGATAAGAGTTTGTGCATGTTCTACGGCGGAATTTTTGCTGCGGGGGCACTCGAGATGAGCCGAATGTCTGCGTATATAGCGAGCCAAAGCTGTATATGCGGAATCTGTCAAAAGTCAGAGACTGCAAACATATAGTGGTGATAGAGAGCGAGACAATTCACGTTGGAAGAACGAGATGGAAAAGTGAGTACTAATACTTAATTTCACATCATCTAGCCTCTGGTTCTCTGGTGGCAGGCATTGAAGGGCTCAATCTCCGAGGCCGCAGAATTTCAAGTTGCGAATTGAGATATTTCGAGGACTGGAGTGCAATAGATAGCGGCGCTGTATTGAAGCTATCATGTTAGCAGTGGCGTCCTGGTATGTCGAGGGCCGAAGCATATCTCAAGGTTCTGTAAGAACCCAAGAGTGAAAGAGGGAAAGTGGTCGAGACTTACGTCATCGGTGGCAGTGTCTCTTCGACCTGGTTTCGTTTTTCTTCTTTAGTCGGACAAGCTACCCTTCGGCACAGACACAATCGGTGGCGGCGACCCTCACTGGCAAAGGAGAGACTACCAATGCCAGAAAACTTCCCTTCCGAACTTCTCGTTCAAATCTGTTCAAATTCTATCACATGTGATTATCATTGTGTGCTTTGGGGAGCTGTTTCGCGTCGTCCCACTCGTTTGTCGAAGGTGGAAGGATGTAGTGGATACCGATCCGGCCTTGCGAAGCCTTGCGAACTAGGGGCTGACATCGCGTTCATGGGAAGTTGTTGAGAAGTCAAACGGAGATCATATTTCGATTGCGACTATATAAAAGCTCAGGCTCTTTTCCTTCATCAGTCCATCCCCGTGGTTATGGAGGAGGCTTTTCAAGCTACGCAACCTGCGCTTCTAGATGTGTTCCCTGCGGAGCTGTTAGTGCGAGTCTTGTCGCATCTATCCTACGACGACTTGCTTCTCGTTGTTCCACTAGTTTGCAGGGCGTGGCAGCATTTAGTGAATACAGATCCGCTTCTCAAAATCAAAACATTCAAGAAGGCCAGCGATATTTATGTGGACATCGGTCAGTGACATTTTCGCCTTGGCTTTCAAGTTTTGCTGACTTATCAATATCGGTCTCAAGGCTTGGAGCCTGAGGACTCGGATGAATCACTCGATGAAGATGAAGATGAAAATGAAGAAGATAAAGAAGTCTCTGATGAGACCAAACCAGAACCTGTGGTGGTTAGTACGCGACATGGACCATATTAGAACCTTGTTAACTTGATTCCTGGACACCAAAAGCTCCACCCTTTACTGGGCATCATCTCGTACATGGTCGGAGAGGACATCCAAAGCCTGCGACTCTACCACAATCACTGGAACTGCAGGTTAGACGAACTCGTCTCGTACCCCGCCGCCAACGACTTGGCCACGATCCCCGCTGTGCATTCGATTTGGATGTATCTGTCGGACCTGCCGGCGCCGCTCGACGAAGACTTCCCGGTCAAGGTCAGCAACCCCAGCGGTGTCACTGTCCTCGACATCTTCTTGGCTTTCGAAGAAACGTGCGTACGTTTCACTGACATACTGTACCGGCCAACGCGACCAGCGTTTACACATCCAAAATAGGGCACAACAGATGGTGGAAACGGCCGATGATGGTATGATGACTGTGCAGGACGCCTTGCGACAATTCTTGTTCGTTCTCCCCCTTTCTTGTCGTTCCATTCTTATGACAACTGCAGATTTTACAGTGGATTTTCGGATGTCAAGCGTCGTGGTCGGCATTTGACTACAAGGATTGTCATGTCTTCGTAGACTAGTACAACTACAAACATTAATGGATACACATGTCCGTCATGCAGCGTTCGCTGGCTGAGGCCCAAGCTTTAAAATTACCCTCGGAAGCTTCCGATCCTCCTCCCTGATCGTTTCTAGCGGCGCTGCATCTCCATCCGAATCCGGTAAATCACTCAGCTCGCTGCTATCTGAGTCTCTCTCCTTGTTCGCCGCTTGACGCTTTGGATTTGCAGGCCGAGGGCTGTTACTCGCCGACACCGGGGCAGAATTCTTTCCTTTGCGCTCTCTCAAGGTCCTATCACTCGGGATTGGAGCGGTTCGCGCAGACGCTGACGACAAAGAAATGGGAGTGCCGTCAATGGAGTTGAATATCTCAACAGTTCTGTCGAGCCAAGGATGCGCGTTCTTCGGGGGTAGAGACTGTCTCCCTGCGCGTTTCCTTTTGGTGGCCTTTTCCAGCTACCATTAACATTAGAACTTCAGTCCATCCGAGAGCTTTTGACGCACCAAGATCAAGTTTTCCACACTCCACCACTCATTTTCGCAATGGCCAGCCAGTCCAGCCAGGTGGGCCAAGGCGCCACTGGCTAATGCACGATCACCATATCCACCCTCTAACACACTGATCAGCCTCCCCTTGGCATATTTGTCTGCAAACGCTCGTGCGTCTCGGGCAAATCGATTGTAAAAGGTCGTCGGGACGCGGCGGTTATGGCGAGACATAGAAGTCAACTCGTGTTCCGAAGCATCCATTCCACAACTGCGGGATAATGTCAGGCCAGAACGGAAAATGGAGTGTTGGGCACTAACCTAATAAATACAAGCACATCTTCGCCTTCTCCGCCAGTTTGCTTTAAAAACTCTTCAGCCCGGCGCAGTATTCTGCTATACTCCTCCTCGTACAGAACGTCAAAGTGTTCGGCCGACTTGTATTCTTGAAGATGCACATTTTCTATGAATTGACCATGGGCTCCATGGAGGGATGTCGAAGCCGCCTGGACAAGAGCAGGTTTACCGTCCTAGTATGACAAGTCAACAACTACATGAAGAGTACAAACGGGCGTCAAGGGGCCTTACCTCACAAGGATACGATAATATATCATGGATCGAGCCTGTTGGGGAACATTGTCAGATATTACCGGGAGAAGAATAGAAAAAAGAGCGCACTATAGTAAACTCTGGGACCCCGTTTTGTGTGGTTGGGTCCACCACCCTCGCTTTCTAGAGTCTGTCGATACGTCTCCTCATTGATTTGCCAGGCAATGGACTGTGTTCCATTGCCTGCCTACAGGCATTAGTACCCTCGAGATTGGTACAAGGTATGAGCGGACCATGGTGTAAATCGATGTCATATATCACAACCCGGTCGATTCCATGGTTTAAATGCGCTATTCACAGTATTTTAAAACAAGTGAAGAAATCAGGAGTAGGGCATACCATGGGCCGCTGCAACCGCAACATTATTCACAAAACAAAACCCTGATGGCGTGTCTTCTCCACAATGGTGGCCGGGTGGTCGGACGGCGACAAAAGCGCGTTGGGTAGGGGTCTTAGATGACATCACAGTATCAACTGCCTCGCAAACGGTGCCGAGAGCGCCTTGTATGGCGTCCAAGGATTCGGGGCAGACTGTGGAGCCAAAAATTAACCGGTAAACGAAGCAGACAGATTCAGGAAACGCACGGTACAAATCCCCTTGAGCCAAATGTGATGGAATCTCCGACCCCTCCTTCTCTATTAGTTCCTTGGACTGGGTGACCCATTTAACCAAGTTTTCGAGATATATGTCTCCGTCGATGTCTCCATGGATGTACTTGACGGCAGGATGGGCAAGGATAGATAGACTGGCAGAGCTTCTAACGATAGCAACTGCAGGTGTATCAGCGGGAGTTCTGGAGCCGCCGAGTGTTCGGGTATTTGAGTGGGCAAGATCCAGTTTGCCTAACTGTGAGGCGAGCTCGTCGGGGTCAACTGCCTTTGATTTCGAGTTGCCACCGGCTCGCGCGACCGCCAGTTCCTCTAGTCGGGCAATTGCGCAAGAAAGTCCAGCGGTAACAGCGCGCAGCCTCTCTGGCCGCTCAACAATGGCGGAAGTGTCTCGCGACCGGATGTACTGGTGTTTGTAGCACGCGTCCTGCAGGAAGATCGCGGTCGACGGACCAGGAAGGGAGGCGTCCATCGTTACGGAAGCTTGTCTGGCGATGGCAACGTAGGTAATTGCCACTTGCCACTTGAAGATGAAGGAAAGAGACAAAAACGCGATTAGAGTTTGTGTCACGTGTGGCTATTTGCCTTCAAGTTGGCTTCGTTTCTGGCCCCCGCCGATTCCGCAATGATTCTGTCTTTTGCCATATTGTCGACCAGACTACGACATAGAAGGCTGACGGCCTGAATCCTAATACGAACCTCATCAGGGTGGATGAGCCGCCTACTCGTCGATGCAATTGGAATGACGATTGTCCTTACCCAGGATTCAGATGGACCTGAAATTGGCAACAACAGTGTGCGTCGTCTTGTTTTCATTTGGTATAGACATTTCTGACTTCCTCTCAGAGTGATCCCGCACCAGGCGAGATCCGAAGGGCCAATAACTTGAATAGTGCACCCAAGCGTAGTGCACCCAGGCGGAGGTACTGATGGACCAAGCTTCCAACTGCGCTCAAGCCGTCCACGCACTAAACCGAATATTGGTCCTCCTCTTCCGGCTTCTCTGACCAAAGCGAGGGCCATAGCATGCGTCCCAGCTGGCTATAAAAAACGACCGCAAAGCGTCAAAGCGATCCCTTCTTCAAGTTCGATGGCTCGTGGCCCACACCCTCACATGGACTCCAAATCCCGACTAAGGTCTTCCCTCCAGCGGACGAACCAATCGCGTCTTAGGCTGGTAGCCAACTGCGCTCTACGTGCCAACGCGAACGCAGATGCAACGGTCAAGGCACACGCTGTCGCACGAGCGGTGAAGAGAGAGTTGGCTCGGCAGAGACACAGGGAAACGCGCATAAACGAGGCCAAGCTGCTCGAGATGGCCAGGGGCAAAGTCAAAAACTGGCTAGAAAAGTTCCAAACGGAGGCCCCGGATTCAGAAATAGAATCCACTCTCCATCATGATGACGGCTCGCACCCCTCCATCGACTACTTGCCCGACTCGGACTCTGCTGTCTCCCCACGACAATGGCCCCGTCGATTCTCCAACCAGCCAGAGGACGATTTGGGAATCGACCCCTTCCCGCATTGCAATCCGGTTCCCTATGCATCAGCAAATGGGCTCCAGCGTGGTTTCGATATGAGACACTGGGCGATCAAGTTTGACTGCCATCCGAGAGGGGATGCGTATGATAGAGATATGGTGGACTGCAGTTGATGCTGACTTATGGACGACGAGTCTACTGCTCGCCGCGCTCATCCAATTTTTCTGTTAGTTATGCTTACTACATCATCACTAGGAGTACCACAATCATTGGCACAACGGACTACTCATGCATTACCTCTCAAGTCTATCTGAAGCAGATAACAATTTTTTTCCCTGTCTCCCACAAAGAAAATATGCAACGTTGGCATATACATGCCTTTTTTTCCTCCAATAAGTAATTCCGAAAAGGACCCATGATAAATCTGAAATGATTCCACTACTGAATGGTGACAACAACAGAGTCGACTTCGAAGGTAAGTTGGGTGTGGTTCTTTGCACGGGATCAGCGGGTTATATACCACTCGCTGAACACTTACATCGTTCCAGGTCGGGTGCAATACGCTGATCTGGGCGTTTCCTGGGGTTATGCCTGCAGGAATAGTAACCAAAATATCCTGATAGACAGAGCGCGCGGGGCCGGGGCCGGTAAGGTGGAAAACGGGGTTGTATGTGCTGTCGTAGAGCACCGTTCCGACGTTGTTGAGCGGGGAAAGGCAGAGGAGGGTGCACTTGGTGAACGTAACAACGGCCGCATTCTCGACGGACCCGGCGGGAGGCGTAGTCTGCACTATGAGTAAATCTTTGCTTCTGAGGAGGATGGAGCTGTAAACTCACTCCTGTAAGGCGGACGGTGATGGTGGAGTTGGCAGCCACAGTGGAGGACGGGGTCGGCGCGAGAATCGTCAACGGCGTCTGGGCGAAGGCGGATGTGGCGAATGCGACGGTAGCGAGGAGCGTGGTAGTAGAGAACTTCATCCTTTGGTGTTTGTTTGGCGTCAACGAGGAAAGTTGAGTGAGGAATAGCGACCACTCTGATTGCTCTTATACTCGCAAAGGCGCCCAGACGCGGCTTAAACTCGCTACCCCAATCCATATACCGTCTTGCGTCAATGAATGGGTGACCTGGGTCAGTAGCAGATAGAGGACAACCTCGGAACCGTCGACGAAAGACTCCGGCAGGGCGATGGACTTTTTCGGAGCGAACTGGGGATATTTTGACGCTGTAGAGGACATACGGGGCTATTTAGCGCAACTTTTAACGGTCTAGACTCCAGGGGCTGGTGGGATCTCATATGAAGCAGCTTTCGGAACAGATTGTACAGAAACTGCTTTGTGTGCTGTTCTCGAGCCTGAGCTTCGATAGCCGAGTTTCTTCCTCCAAGCTTTGAAATGCTGCCGATAGTTCGCAATCCGTGTCATTATTTTCTAGCTGGTCGAAGCTCGATAGATCCCGTCGAGTTACACGCCTGCTCATTGGCCAGAGGCAGGTACCACAATACAGATACAAAGACTGCCTTGGCTGACAGAAAATTGCAGTAATGTGAGTCGACTGAGATTTGGAGAGCATATTTCTTTATGGACCCACTTCAGCCACCAGATGATAGTTCAAAGTCAAGGAGCGCCACAAAACGTGAGACCGCGTGACAGAAAATGTCACTCGCACTGATGGCCGGCCAACTCGGACGATGCCGGTTGAGACCAATTTAGGAAAACTTGCAATGCGAGCCTGCTTGGATGCACCAGTTTTCCCTAGCTGGGCCAGCTCAAAGAATGCAGGCGTTATTGACTGCATTTTTCGTTGAATATTTATTCGTTGAACAATCACCCTGATTCACCCAACGACTCGAAAAATAAAACCACCGATATATACATGAACCCGAATTCGACTTTTGAACTTTAAAACTTCTTTCACCTCATCAACACAACAAAGGACTGGACCAAAATCGCACTCTGAGAGCGGCGAGCAATCTACTGGACAGTGACGACAACCGAATCGACCTCGAAGGTCACCTGAGTATGGTCCTAGAGAAATTCAAGTGAGTTCAGGTCATTGTGTATGAGTATCTCAATGAGCCATCAAACTCACGGAAGTCAATGTGGGGTGCAAAACACTGATCTGCGCATTTCCTGGAGCTGTCCCAGCGGGGATGGTGACGGAAATGTCTTGGAAGACAGTGCGGGCGGGACCGGGGCCCGAAACATGGAACACAGGATTGAAAGTGCTGTCATAGAGGATGGTGCCGACGTTGTTCAACGGAGAGAGGCAGAGGAGAGTGCATTTGGTGAAGGTGATGATTGCAGCATTCTCGACCGATCCAGCAGTGGGGGTGGTCTATGAACCAACGGTTAGTTACAAGCCCTGATAAAAAGTGCGGACGCGCTGACCCCTGTGACACGAACGACAATAGTGGAGCCGGCCGAAACGACGGTCGAAGCAGCCGGGGAGAGGATGGTCAGTGCGGTCTGAGCCAAGGCAGAAGTTGCACAGGCAACCGTGGCGAGGAACGTGGCGGCGTTGAATTTCATTCTGGTGCTTTTCTTGGTCTTCGGAAAGCTGAAGAAAGGTAGTTCTTCCTTTAGAGGCTTTTTATACAACCAAAAAATCCTTTGGGAAACTGTCGCCTTTAATCTTGGCGGTCATTCTCCGACTGAGCCGCGTCCGGAGAAAGAATGGTTTCTTGAACCGCTTTGTCGCACACCCAGCCAGGTACGACCTGTTTGTATTGAGTCTGCGCAAAGAGTCCCAGCATTCTTGCGGTAACACCTAGCTACCGAGCCGTCCCCTTCTCGAAATCGCTTGCAATCCTTAGCTTTAGCCATACCTTGATCCTCATTTACATTCCTCGACTCCTTGTGGCTTCCGACTGTGCGACAATCTCGGTTATTGTAAGCAGAAAAGGCGCTGGGTGCGTCTCTGCGGCCGACACGAACTTACCTCCACATTCAACGGCGACTACTTGCAGTTGTTCCTGGACCACCGTTCCACGACCCAGTTCGCGCGGTCGCTACTCATTGCCATTAGTTTAGCCACGAGCGGTGATGTAGTCATACCGTGAATAACTAAAATGTTTGGTCAACGAAATACCCCCGCTCGCTCGCTCCCCGCGCACTCGCAGTTGGTCCCAACTTTCAGGTAATTTCCACGGGAGAGCGTAATGATGGTTTAACGCCGCTAAAACTGCGGTACACCAGTGGACGACTTATACTGCTTGAGTAGATTGACTCGGAGTTAGACGTTCTTGCTAGGATGAATGCTGGCCAAGTAATGTCGCAACCACTTGAGGACGCTGCTACTGGCAGTCAACCAGCTTCTGTTGTAGCAAATACGAAGCAGAATTTTCACGGTTGGATTCGCAAGTCTCACTGCCGTCAGTTGGTGTGGGTTTTGACCACGGAAAAAGGACGAATACCCCCACACTCTTGCGTGACACTCCCAAGTTCTACGTGGCCACCTCTGAAAGTGGTCAATAGAATACCATATCGAATTTAGAGTACGGAGATGACCCATGTAAATCCGTATCCGAACAACAGCAGAGGTAAATAGACGCCGTCCTTACTTGATGACTGCCCACGGTCGCTGATTCGCGCAAGCATTCCGCTAGCTTTTGTTATTTCTTAGAGCTGGCAGGTTGCTCTACGGGAGCCTGAATTGTGCTGTTACTTCCATGCTCGGCCGCGCAGGAGAAAGAAGACGTGTGATTGACTTGGTGATAGAGGAAGGGTATATTTTTACGTGCTATTACCACGCGGCGATGGGATTGGACAACAGTCAAAGAGCCCTCAGCTTCCGCGATCGGTGCCCGCAACGTTCGAAACATGCATAGACGACAGCATCGCATTGGATGGGATGGCCCTAAGATGACCCTGCACTATAGTGAGAACAGCCTGAGGAATCGAGTAATTATATACGCACATGCACACCATACTCTATTGCTGCAGTCGGTTGACCTCCTTGCCAACTGGTGGAAACGGTGGAGAAACAAACAGAGGGAAGGGATGATCTGTAGAGTTTATCCTGACTAGTAGAAGCGGGAGCGCTTACTGGCGTATATTTCGAGGCTGGTTGAACGGCCCATAACCGTCAACACATCATGTTCAGTCTACAGCGATGAAGTCGATAAGTCCAGCACGCTCAGCCTTGCCTTGTATTTTTGGCATTGGCAGCGAAAGTGGAGAAGGGTTCACTGCGGGAGTTCCGGAATAAACGGGGCCCCTTTCGATCGATTATACGCCTCTAATCAATGTACCAAAAAATATAATTTTTTTTATGCCTCTATTTGAGTCCAAAAAATTTGTCCCAAATTTACCTGCTTATATGAGAAATGGGCGCGACAAACGGCGACCGGATCAGCAGCCGATTAGACACAAAAAAAAGCCCCCCTTTTCTTCCTCCATAATCAAGCCAAAACGGACTCAGTTTTTGTCACCCATTTTAGGGTATATCAAACGCCCTTTTTTGGACTGGTTTTTGCATCAAAACGAGGACCGAAAAATATTCACTTATATGACACATATCAGGGCCCAAAAAAATGGGCCCTGATATCCGGAGTATCGGGGCATCGTTTAGTTGTCGGCCGCAGAGCGGCCGACGCGTCTCAACAGTCCAATCGAAGGCAAACACACTCGTTCAGCATTGTAGTAAAAAAAAGTACATTATATAGTCCGACTGATGATATCTACGTTGGAGCAGGCAAGGCATGTTGACGCAAATATTTGACCGCAAGGCGACATTGACTCTTGAAGACCCGAGCAGCTGACAACGTGAAACGGATGTCTCGTTTCCATATGTTGTTGTTTCGCAGCAGCGCTGAACTGGCCTTGGCATCGGACACTTGTTCGCGATACCAGTCTTCGCAATTGACGGTCCAACGACCAACATTCAGGCCAGATTGCGACCAAGCGGGAGCCTGCGGCCACCATGAGACCTGTTTCTGCTGAACTCCGCTGCTATTTGTCTTGTCCTTACATTCTGTTGTATATTAGTCAATGTCTTGGTATATATATTGAAAACTGACCCATGGGAATTGAGTATATCCCCGAACACAACGCTGCCTCCTTTTCCGTCAAGCAATGGTAGTAGTAGGCATCATCAGTGCCCGGGATGAGCACCCGTGCATCAGCTGACGGGATATCAACCGCGTCCACAAGAACTTGGATTACGTGGTTCTTGA